AGGCCCTGCCAGGCTTTCAGTCTGGCAACCGTTTTAGGGCCTGTAGGGCCTGAACTCGGTTGTCAGGCTGAAATGTCTCCGGGGCCTGTAAGCCCTAAGTTTTAGGCTTCAGTCTGGCAACCGTTTTAGGGCCTGTAGGGCCTGAATTCGGTTGTCAGGCTGAAATGTCTCCGGGGCCTGTAAGCCCTAAGTTTTAGGCTTTTAGGCTGACTGTCTGGGACGGGCCCTGTAGGGCCCGTGTGGCTACGCAGTATGCCACATCCTACTTACATATGTGAAAACAAGGCCGTGGTGAACTAATCCGGCCGTAAATCTGGTCTCACCTGGTCTTAATTATGGATAACTTGCAGGTGTGACCGTGTGGAGGATGTGAGCACTTCCTTACAAAGTCACTCTGACAAGTCAGCAGGCTTGATGGACTCTTACGCTGACCAAAAACACAGCAGTCTCCTTCTTATCCATCGATCTTGGCAATAAACACAATTACTTTCTTCCCACAGAGCAATGGCCTACGTTCTTTGCGCAGAAAGGCAAGTTGCAGGCTGGGAGGCTGGTTGGCAGACTGTTGAAGCAACTGCCACATCGCAAGGGACATTACAATGACCAAAAGAAGAGAAGCTGTGGGCAGTTGTAAGCCCTTGGAAAGGAAACGAGATGGCTCTCCATGCATGTAAGGGGCAACAAAAGGGCGCACACAGAGCTCTATGGTGCAGTGACAGCAAACGGAGAAGGGAAGACTGGGCTAGGGGAAAGAAGGAGGAGGAGGAGGAGGAGGAGGAGGAGGGAGAGGAGGACAGAAGGAGAAAGACAATGACAAGAAAGAGGACGACGAGATGAGACCAGGATGAAGATGAGGACGACGAGCATGAGGGGAGGGGACGAAGGTGAGAGGGGGACGAACATGAGGGGGGGGGCGAAGATGAGGAGGGAGGGAGTGATGAGGCGGCATCCAGAGAGCTCAAACATGGATCTATTTCACAAGTCTGAGGATAGAATAAGACGAGAATGTTGATGGGAAGCTGTCCACCTTGCGGCTGTAGGTCCGCACTATGTGTCTCGCCCAAGGTGCTCTGATTTTGCGATCAGATGAAGAGGCTGAAATCGCCACACCTCTGCCTTCCACAGTTCGCTGTTACACAACTCTTTTCTTCTTTTGGTTCTGGATTGTCCGGTGGGCGACCATTCTCGTGGGGCCTGGCATCGATGTCAAAGTCTGAAACTCTGTACCCCGTACGATCGAGTTCTCGGCTGAGCTCTCGGTTGTTCCTCTCGCTTCGTAGTTTGAGGAGTCAGTTCGCCTACCCTAAGCTATGGAGGTCTCAGCTTTTTTGCTCTGTGGAATTGGTGGGCCCTCATCCTTTAGGCTCTGCAGCGAAGCCGCTGAGCGCGATTGTCGCCAGAGCTTGCCCTCCTGGACTCTGTGGTTGCCTCTTCCCCCGAATGGAACAGATAGCCGTCACCAACATCCTCGAGGCAAATTGGTGGTCACACAAAGGTGTGCCTATGGGTTCCTTAGGAGAGAGGATGACGAGGACAGGTGTGTCAACTGATCAGCTGAAGCTGCAGCTCCATTCACAGTATGCCCCACCAGTCGACAGACTGGCCAAGGGTTCTAGTCTCTCTGGTCTTTCTAAAACCAGAGACAAACTAATCCAAACCCCCAACCATCCAGCAGCAACACGGGCGGCAGGTTGTCGGGCTACGCTGGTGCAGAGGCTGAGCGGCAGTTCTGGGAGCTATGCTGCTTGGGGAACGTGCAAGATGTCACGGTCGAGCAGGCCGATTTTATGGAACCAGAGTCGACTGGGCATCGCAGTTGGGACAGATGGGACAGATGGGACAGTCACTGTGCTGTGCCGGCTCTGGCGCTGCTTCCAGGACTCTATGGCTATGGGTTGTACGCTAAGACTCCGATCCGTTGAGCGGTCACTGGAAAAGGCGCACTGCAGACAACCAGGAGGAGGTCAACGGTTAACATCACCGCATCACCTTAGCTTTGGTCGTTCGCAGCAGAGGCCAGGGTGCAGGGGCTTGAAACAAGGCAGTCAATCAGGCTTCATGCGGTGGGAAGAGACGCACAAAGCAGTGGCAATGACACCATTCTCCACCTCCAGCTCAACGCCAACAACAGCAGCTGCAGCTGAAGGACTTCGAGGACTAGGAGGAGGAGGAGGAGTAACAGGAGTAGAAATAACATCCAGACTCGTGGGTGTGACTTGCGTTCAACCAAGAAGATCAGTATGTTGGGTGCTGGGTTCCATTCGTAATGGCACAGTGCATGTCAAAGGTTCCACCACCCTAACCACCAGAGAAGGTGTGGCATTTAAGGCTGGCTCTGTTCTCGGTCCAGAACAAAACCCTGCGGTAGATGGTACATTGCAACTGGATGGCAGTCCTCTGTGCTCTCCAGGGAATCGGAAGGTCGCAAGTTCGGTTCCTTCGTTTCAAGCTTCGTGTGAAGCGCTCATAAACCCCAGCCGCCAAGGTCCACATGGGGTTAATCAAGGTTATAACCCCGGGAAGCATATTGACCGTCATATGGTTGATCCACGTGAGAGTGTCTGGGTTGAGAAGGTGTTTGATCATGCTTCTCTAGGCCGAACCAAGGAGGACTTAAGTATTGCTGCTGTGCGGGAGGATTCATGTTGTGTCGGGATCGATACAGGTCATGCTCCAGAGAGAAAAAAACTAAGGAAAGGACACCGTTCTTGGACCGCTGGTGGTGTTGGGCACGAAGGGCGATCATCAATACATGGATGTTGTGTCGGGATCGATACAGGTCATGCTCCAGAGAGAAAAAAACTAAGGAAAGGACACCGTTCTTGGACCGCTGGTGGTGTTGGGCACGAAGGGCGATCATCAATACATGGATCAATAAGGCAGACTCTGCAAAAATATGGTCAAGGGGGCTCAGGTTTGGGCGGTCACGGCCATGATGATAGTGATGGTGATGGCAAAGGCAGAGGGTCAAAAATACCTATTAATAGACTAAGCCTCAAGATTGACCACGACAGATCGATCCTCGTAGAGACAGGAGACATAGGGAGGCAAGCGAGCGGTGCTGTGACCGTTAGGGAGGGGGAAACGGTGTTGTACGCGACGGCATGTGTCTCTAAGGAGCCCCAGAAGTCCTCGAAGGCCGCGCCATTGAATGTGAGTTATCAGGAGCGATTCAGCGCAGTGGGGAAGACAGTAGCTGGACTCATCAAGAGGGAGGGAAGGGTGAGGGATCATGAAGTTCTCACAAGCCGCCTGATAGACAGGTCCATCCGACCGTTGATGCCAGAAGGCTTCTCTCACGAGACCCAGATTCTGACCTGGGTCCTAAGCTATGATGGAAGACATAGCCCTGCACCCCTGGCAATAACTGCAGCAGGAGCAGCATTGGCCATATCTGCCATTCCAATCTCCAAGCCGCTCGCAGGTGTGAGGGTAGGGATGACAGCTGATCGCAGTCGATTGATTGTCAATCCGACGGCAGATGAGATGGCCACCTCGGAGCTGGACCTCGTTGTAGCTGGAACGTCCAATGCTGTGCTGATGATCGAGGGCTACTGTAACTTCCTCACGGACGAGGAGGTGTTGAATGCCGTGGAGACTGGCTATGGCGCTGTGTCGTCGATCTGCAGGCAACTGCAGCTATGGGCGGAAGAAGTACGAACACCAAAGATGATGGTCACTGCTCCTGCGAGTCGTGGCTCGCATGAGGCCACGGGCAAGGATTCGCCAACGACTCTGGAAGATCTGGTTATGAGCGTGGCAGGGGACGAACTTACGCAAGCACTCTTTGCAAAGGGACCGAAGAAGGAGCGCAATGCGGCTGTGAAGCAGGTTGAAGAGAAGTTTGCTCAGCGGATAATGTCCTTACTTCAGGGGAAGGAAAGAGGAGGAGGAGGAAGAAAAGGAGGAGCGAAACTTCGTAGGCAATCGAGGCGATCCAAGGGAGGAGAACGTCCAGACCATCCAGCTGAACTGCGGCAGCCTTTCAAACAACAACGTGCCAAATCTAGGCATAGGAAGCAGAAAGTGAAAAAGGCCGGGACGTTCGCTAACAGCGAGCACAATCATGACAGATGCAATAACTCGAAAGAGGAGGAAAATGGAGGAAAGCGGAAGCACAAGCGCAAGAAGAAGAGAAAGAGGACGAGTGGGTATAAAGGCGAGAAGGAAGGTCAACATTCAGAGAAAACGCAGAGTGCAAATGGCAGGTTGACTTCGCAGCAAGGGCTAGGGTCATCACCAACGTCAACCTCCACCAAAAATGAGGGGGTAGGTTGGAGAGGGGTGGAGGCTTGTGGGCCTAAGGGACCACAAAGCCAGTTAGACATGGAAGCAGCAGGAAAGGGAGAGTGTAACACGAGTGGTGATATATGTCAAGACAGTGGTAGCGATACTGCTAGAAGAAGGAGAAAGAGAAAACGACGAGGCGGACGTCGTAGAAGTCCTCCACAGAGTAGTAGTAGTAGTAGTAGTAGGAAAAGTGACTGCCGAACCTTAGAAGAAGAGTCGGGTGTTGGCTCCTCCTCCAGTTCGTGTAGCCGTCAGGATGTTAAGAAAGCATTCAAAACAATATCCTCACGAATACTGAGGAGCAGTATCGTGAACGATGGTACCCGTTGCGATGGCAGGGGACCAAAGGACGTCCGACCGATCTCTTGTCGTTGCAGCCTCCTCCCACGTACGCATGGGAGTGCATTGTTCACCCGGGGGGAGACGCAAGCACTAGCCGTAGCAACATTGGGTGGCGAGGATGTGGTGGAGAGAGTCCACACTATCAATGGGGAAGAGCGAAGGAGGTTCTACCTGCAATACTTCTTCCCCCCCTCTTGTGTAGGAGAGGCTGGTCGTGTAGGACCACCAGGCAGGCGAGAGATTGGCCACGGTGCACTTGCTCAGCGAGCTCTGGACCCGATCATACCCTCTTACCAAGATTTCCCCTATGCCATGAGACTAGAGAGCATGATAACGGAAAGCAATGGCTCCTCTAGCATGGCATCAGTCTGTGCGGGTTGTCTTGCTCTCCTGGATGCAGGGGTGCCGATCAGGAAAATGGTTGCTGGGGTAGCCATGGGTCTTATTCTGGGACCGGGAAAACGCAAGGGTTCCCCAGATAAACCCCTTATCTTGACAGATATCCTGGGGATAGAGGATGCACTAGGGGACATGGACTTCAAAGTTGCCGGAGATGAGAATGGGGTGACTGCCTTTCAGATGGACATCAAGGTGGAGGGCATTACCATCCATGTGATGAGATTGGCACTGATGCAAGCCAGAGAAGCTCGATGCGCCGTGCTGGAGCAGATGAGAAATATGTGCAACCCCCCCCCTAGAAAGTCCCTTTCGAGATACGCGCCCCACATTGGGGTCATGACCATTGACCCATCCAAAGTCGCTGCAGTTATCGGGCCAGGTGGAAAGACTGTCAAGCGGATCATCGCCCTTTGTGATGTGGAATCCATTGACGTGGAGGGGGATGGGTCTGTGCGTATTGTTTCATCGACGGAAGCTGCCTTGCAGCACGCCAAGGAAGAAATCCGTCGATTGGTTTGTCTTTGACTTTGACGTTGAGTTGTACACATCGATGGCCTGCAACAGAAAAATTCAAGACATAAAAGTCCAGTTCAAGGAAAGACTAACTCAAAATTTTTCAATCTAATTTAAAAACTTTCAGTTTATCAAGAGGTTTTCTTTTTTTTTCTTTTGCGCAGGGGCCATGCTAATCTTCTTTATATCGTTCCAGGTTTACTGGATGTCACGAAGGACTATCAAGAGGTTTTCAGTTTATGGTGACAATTTTTCTCTCAAAATAAATTGAAAAGTATTCTTTGCCTGAAAGTTCGGGAACAATTTTAAAACTTTCAATGTAACATTTCAGTTTAATATAAACTGAAATGTTATGTATTGCCTGAAATCAAACCGAAAAGAAGCCATCCCTTATCTTTCAGTTTAGCATGACTCAAAAAGATAATCAAAAGTTCAAAACTAAACAAAAAATGTTACCTCCAGCAGGATAATTAAACGGAAATGTGATTCATGAACGGAAAAGTAAAATCAAATGTCACTCGTGGATGGAAAATGTAGCTGAAGGTTATCTTTCAGGGAAATATATATACTGAATTTGTTTGGTTTGCTTTAAATTAAACCGAAAATTCATTTTTCTATGAAAAAATCAAATGGAATATGTTGTGTTTGTTGGAAATAATGCTTGAAATTTTCTCTCATTTCTTAGGTTCAGTTTCACAAGGGTTCTTCACCTATAAAGATGTCAATCTGATTCACATGGATGCTAGAGACCTACTTTACGTTTGTCACTTAGATCCTCCCCGCACCCTGCTAGAAGGGCATCGGATCGCATGAGTGGGTGTCCTGCCAAGTGTCCACCTCACTGCCATTACAAACTCAGTGAAAGGAATCAAAGGATCGTTATTAATTTTACTGAAAATCACAAATGTGTTGACCAAAACCCTAAACTGGAAATTGATAATAAGAACAAAAATTCCACTCCAACCAAAATTCCACAAAAATTAATCAGTTTGGAACTTTGGAGTCCTCGGACTGAGATTCCGCGGAAATTTCGGATATAGAGTATTATAGACTGATAGATGACGTGCAATTCCGGTGAATTTTTTAGATCTGGAGTTGTGGATCATATCCATGACACACAACTTATGATGGACAGTCATCAACGTAATATGCATCAACTAACTGACACATAATCCAATATAAACTGCTTGATGAAAAAGTAAGTTGATAAATGAAATGACACGTTTTTTAACCGATAACTTGCTGAAAACAAACTGTTTGAAACGCAGGATTCAACAACATTATACAATCACTTAACTTGCAAATTACACCTCAAGATAACCAGCTTGTACGCTAAAACAAGGAAAGAATTTGTGTGTATGTGTTTATAAACTTTGTATATATATGTGTGTATGTATATGTGTGTTGAGACAAATGGAACCCCGTGAACGAGAGGCGTAACAGGGCATGCAGACAGGATTGCCCAAACAGGGGTTGCATCAACTTTGCACAAAACAATCCATACATAGGGTGATAACGAAAACAACCATTATTGGAATGGAACAAAGCAAGGAGGGATTCATGAGCAAGTACACATTCTGCATAGCTATCACACGTTGCAGAGGAGGACAACAGGCAGCATGCACAACAAATCTGAGGTATCAATTATTGATAAACAAGAGGAGAGGCAAACCAGCGTCAAATTATGCAAAAGCACAGCCCATCACCACTGCACCTGATACAAATTACATCAAAGGTATTGAGCACGTGGTTGTTTCCTCAACCAAACCGCAACCCTCTTATTTCTCACTTCACCGCCCGTCATTAGCAAAGAATACTGCACAACACACCTTGAGCCTACTCCCAACCACTACCCCCACTACAAAAGAAGCGAACATCATTACAAGCACCGCAATTAGCTAGGGCAACCAAGCGTCCATCATCGTCCTCGGGATTACGGTGTCCAGGTCAACAGCGTGGCGGGAGGAACCCAATACCGGGGTATGCACTAGTGTCCATAGGGTAGGCCAGAGCAAACCAGATACGCCGAAAAATAGGCAGGCAGGGTAAACATGAAGAAGTGCCAGCCTACGATTATAATTGTCAGGTGGAAGAAATCCCCAATCTCACCAACCCGTTGTGCGTAAGCAGACTCAGATACTCCACGACCTCTGCGACAGGAGTTGGGCCCCACCGTACAATTACCCTATCAATCCTATCTACACACAGCGTCCAGCTGCGACTCCAGGCTCTGGAATTGGCCTGTTTGCAAGAAGAATCCAATCGGTACAGGGCTTAAAGCGATCACGCCAATATGCCAATGAGCTCGAAAATATCTTCAGCACAGCACCAACAGCAACAACTTTGAATCCTTACAACTCAACAGCAAGTGATGAGCGAAGAACCCACCAGAGCATGCTGCGATCACTCGAGAACTTCTGATCGGAAAGATTCAGACGGAAAAAAGGAGGAGAGGAGGGGAGAGAACAAGAGACAAAAAGTACCAGCACATCTCGACGCATCATCATCAACACAACACCGCCGTTATGACGAACCATATGCCTGCAGCCTAGGCGTAATCAGTATGCGATCAGCACAAACTTCTGAATCAGATGGGACAGTCCACCATTAGCAAGAGTGGAGACATCCTCCACAGATCCATACGCAACATCACCGACCCCATTATGCTAGACTTCCCCTCATGCTTTGCAGAAGCTTAACGCAAGGTTCTGGCCAGATCAATTCAGTAACTTCGTTCGAAGGGGACAACACCAGCAGCAGCGATGCTCTAGTAACGCCAGCATCGATAAAAACGACAGATAGGCAATAATGGCGAGAACCAGACAGATGGACAACCATGCAGACTCCATGTTTATCCGTAAGTATCGTTGACAACTTGCATTCATCTCAGCAAATCATGACGACTTTCGCTAAATGATAAGATCCTACATCTCACCACAACACAAACCACATATACACACGGGGACAGCACAAACAACCATGCACAACACAACATTTACACACAATCAAACATGTTAAATCCATACATAGATATCCATCAGGTGAAGAGATCATGAACTAAGACTCAGATAGCCCCTTTCAGCCAAGCGACTCCTCATAGTCGACAATTTGAGGGAGGGCAGTGGATGCTTCCCTTAAGTACTTTTCACCGGTACCCACTAGACCGGTTCATCGGAGGGAAAAAACACCCCCAATATGTTCCGAAGGGGGACAGTGAAACCATAAAAGCGATTGACTCATATCCAGAAACCATCACTTTCAGGTGACTTAGAAATAGGAGGAGAGGGAACAAAGGGGAAGAGACAGGGGGGTTGGGAAACATTCTTTCATTACCATGCCCGCATCCATGACAGGAACCTCCTTGATGAAGCTGCTCAAGAGACCACCAAGCTTCCCCCTTGCTCACGATGCCAAGACCACTCGCGCTACCCGTCAAGCACTCCTCGTATGCCCGTCAGACACACATAAGATGGATGCCTTCCATTCAGCATGCGTATACCCCTGCCCTGATGTCGTACGCACACGCCAGCAACACACTCCTTTAGCACACCTCGTCACTCATCAAGAAGGCACAGCGAACCCCTCACTAATGCCAACTGGTCCTGCCTATACACCTCATTTGTAGTGAGCATCACCATTCGAGGAGGGAAGAATCAGCCCACCCCTTACTATCAAGGAACATCCACACGGTAAGCCGCCACTCATACACGTGTACCCACCCGCCCAGCAAGGATACAAGGGCACTAACAAGCACCATGCTAGCCCAGCCCATCCACCACGCCTGCCACCAGCATATCACTACATAGAGATCTGAGTCCCATGCGCAGCGGCACGTCGCATCGTACCACTCCCCCGCACGTGTGGATGACTCGCGTTATCAGCGATGCCGAACACCTTCACGATCAAACTCGGAACAAGACCTCAGCTGGCTAATCATTCCTGGCATGGGGGAAAGGGAATTCAAGCTGAACCGGGGCTGTCGACGAGAGTAGGAGGTTCATCCTACGCAAGCGATAGTGCCGACCACCAAAGAGGGCTACACCAATCACCAGTAGATGCCTATATAGGTCCGCCGGTAGCAGGTCACGCTCTCATGAGGTAGGACGAGCAGGTAACAAACAGGGTTTCTAAAAAAAATTGGGGCGGCCCTGAAACCCGGAAGCATTTTACAAACCCAGTAGGGGGTACCCCTAGGAAAAACCCAAAGTCAGGGAGGCCCCTTCCCCCGTGCGCAACCGGGTATCAACGGTAATCCGTCCATCAATGCAGTAAGATACCCCGAACCGACACTCATCAGGGTACCTCAAGGGTGGCAGGACCCATTTAATACATTGATTATCATCCAACCGAATGACATCATGACACCATACCAAAAATGAGCATGTGTGTGTGTGTGTGTGTGTGTGTGTGTGTGTGTGTGTGTGTGTGTG